TTTGAGACCAGCCTGGCCAACATGGTGAAACCCCATCTCTACTAAAAATACAAAAATTAGCCAGGCGTGGTGGTGGGCACCTGTAATCCCAGCTACTCAGGAGGCTGAGGCAGGAGAATTGCTTGAACCTGGGAGGTGGAGCTTGCAGTGAGCCAAGATTGCACCATTGCACTCCAACCTGGTCAACAAGATCAAGACTCTGTCTCAAAAACAAAACAAAACAAAACAACAAAACAAAAAACAGAAGCAACCTTTGAAGTAATTATGCCTGATAATTTCCCCTAATACACCTATAGAGGGGCAAAGATAATGATTCCATCTGACTTCTCCTCGGAAACCATGCAAGTAAGAGGAATGTGGAGTGAAATATTTGAAGTGTTGACAGGAAAATAAAACTGCACCAACCTAGAATTCTGTATCCTGTGAAAATCCTTTACAAGTAAAGGAGAAACACAGACTATCTCAGACAAACAAAATCGAGAGAATTTGCTGCCAGTACACTTGCCTTGCTAGAAACGCTAAAAGAAGTTCTTCAGAGAGAAGGAAAATAACACAGGTCAGAAACTCAGATCCACATAAAGAAAGGAAGAGCATCAGAGAAGAAATAATTGAAGGTAAATAGTTTTTTCTTATTCTTAGTTCATCTAACATTTAATAGCTTGTTCAAAATAATAGCAACAATATATTTGATGACATAGTTTAAGTGTAAGTAATTACACAAAATAAAGCAATAATGTAGGGCTGGGAGGGAGTAATTAGAATTATGTTGCTATTATAAGATACTTGCACTACTCATGAAGCAGTATAGTTTTATTTGAAAGAGGACTTTTATGTTAGTTGTAAATGTATATTGTGAACTCTAGGGCAACCATTAAAGAAGTAGTTTAAAAAGAAGTATAATTGATATGCTAAGAAAGGAGAGAAAATGGAATATAAAATTATTGGTAAAAACCACAAAAAACAGAAAAAGAGTAGAGACAAAAATAGTAGCAAAGAACAAGGGCAATGTATTAGTTTGATTTTATGCTGTTCATGAAGACATACTTGAGACTGGGTGATTTATAAACAAAAAGAGGTTTAATGGGCTCACAGTTCCACATGGCTGGGGAGGCCTCACAATCGTGGCAGAAGGGAAGAGGCACGTCTTACATGGTGGCAGGCAAGAGAGAGAATGAAAACCAAGTGAAAGGGGTTTCCACTAAAAAAAATCAGATCTCATAGAACTTATTCACTACCACGAGAACAGTATGGGGTAAACTACCCCCATGAGTCAATTAACTCTACCAGGTCCCTCCCACAATATGTGGGAATTATGGGAGCTACAATTCAAGATGAGATTTGGGTGGGGACACAGCAAAACCATATCAGGCAACAAATAGAAAATAGCAACAAACATGGTAGATATTAATCCAACTATAGCAATAATCATTTTAAACATCAATAGTCTAAAAACACCAATTAAAGACCGAGATTGTCAAAGCGGATTAAAAAGTAAGACCCAACTATATGGTGACTACAAGAAACTCACTTCAAATGTAAAGACATACATAGTCCAGGCACAGTGGCTCATGCCTGTAATCCTAGCACTTTGGGAGGCCGAGGCAGGTGGGTTACCTGAGGTCAGGAGTTTGAGACCAGCCTGACCAACATGGAGAAACTCAGTCTCTACTAAAAATACAAAATTAGCCGGGCATGGTGGTGCATGCCCGTAATCCCAGCTACTCGGGAGGTTGAGGCAGGAGAATCGCTTGAACCCAGGAAGTGGAGGTTGCGGTGAGCCGAGATCATGCCATTGCACTCCAGCCTGGGCAACAAGAAATGAAATTCTGTCTCAAAATAAATAAATAAATAAATAAATAGACACATATATATATATTAATGGTAAATGGAAAGAGAAAGATATACCATGATGAAAAGGAAAGCTACAGTAGCTATACTAATTTCAGACAGAGCAAACTTCAGAGCAAGGAAAATTATTAGGGATAAAGAAGGATGTTACATGATGTTAAAGGACTCATATCTCCAAGAAGATATAACAATCGTTAAAACATTTGTGTCTAAAAACAGCACATCAAAATACATGAGGAAAAATCTAATTGGCCGGACCCGGTGGCTCACACCTGTAATCCCAGCACTTTGGGAGGCCAAGGCGGGTGGATCATGAGGTCAGGAGTTCAAGACCAGCCTGGCCAAGGTGGTGAAAACCCATTTCTACTAAAAATACAAAAATTAGCTGGGCACAATGGCAGGCACCTGTGATCCCAGCTACTTGGGAGGCTGAGGCAGGAGAATCGCTTGAACTCAGGGGGCAGAGGTTGCAGTGAGCCAAGATCACGCCGCTGTACTCCAGCCTTGGCAACAGAGTGAGACTCTGTCTCAAAAAACAAACAAGCAAACAAACAACAACAACGACAAACTTAATTAAAACTGAGGAAAACACTCCAGAGACGTCAACACCCTTTATCAGAAATGGATAGATACAGCAAGCAGAAAAGAAGCAAGGACATAGCTGAACTCCACAGGACCATCAATCAGCTGAATATGAAGGACTCCTACAGATTAAATCACCCAACAACAGCAAAACGCACATTTTTCTCAAGTTCTCATGGAACATTTACTAAGATAGACCATATTCCGGGCCATGAAGCACACCTTCACAAATTTAAAATCATAGCGATCATACAGTATGATCAGACCGCAGTTAAATGAAATGAGAAATCAGTAATATAAAGACAGCTGGAAAAGATGACTGGGAAGATTGTAATGAATGGACTCTTTACAAAGGAGGGGCAGAGTTAAGTGAAAGAACAAGGTGTGGTGAAGCCCCAAGACATTTTTAGCTTTAGGAAGCTGCTACCACTCCTGGCCTTGAAAGGACAAAGGAAGGTCATAGTTACCAGAGAAAGGGACTTATTTGGCAGAAGTTGTGGTCTTACATACAGGAATAAAATCACTGCCAAACCACAGGCCTACAAGGAGGGATCTCAGAAAATAGATAACTCTGACCTTTCTTCTCTCCTCTCATCTCCTACAGGTGCCTCCCGTTAGCCCAACCAGGTGATACAGTCTGTTAGACACCAGCTTCCTGGGTCACAAAGAAAGGCAGAGAAAGACAGAGAGTGAATTGAGAAACTATACTACACATGCATCCAAATATTAGCCATAATCAGAAGATACAATTTTGTAATATATCATTGAAAAAAGCAACACGAATAAGGACAAAACATAGAAAATAAGATTTTTTTTTTTAAGTGGGCAAAAGTGTGAAGGAAAAATTATAAAACCTTACTGAAAGACATGAATGAAGACCTGAATAAATTGAGGACTATAAACCATATTCATGGATAGAAAGGGTCAGTATTAAAAGTATGTCAATTCTCCCCTAAATTGTTCTGCAAAAAACAATTTCCATTAAAACTTCATAAATGTTTTTAAAATGAATTTAACAAATGGATTCTAAAATTGATACAAAAAAAAAAAACCAAAAACAAAGGCTGAGTAATAGCCAAAACATAAAAGAAAGAGGAGAAGAAAGAGGCAGTGAAAGGAAAATGTCAAAGGAGATATGAAAATGTATTATAAAACTATAATGATTAACATTGCGATACGGGGATAGACAAATTTCACCAGTGCAACAGAACATGAAAATTTGATTTATGAGACTATTGTCACTGTTGAGCAGTTTGGAAAGGAAATATTTTTCAATATATGGGCCACACCAATTGACTATATGTATGAAAAAAATCCATTTGGACCTCTACCTTATGCCAAACAAAAAAGCAATTCTTAGTGGAATTAATCCAATACATATTTGATGAATTCAGTGTCTACATCATGTTTGGAAAGGATAAAATCAGGAAAAACGGTTGCCTCTCTTCCGATCCATCTTGGAAAGGTGGAGCAGTCATTGAGGTGTCAGGAGATACCCTGCATGATGAAAGGAGAGCCACTTGGCAGACCAAACATGGGAGGAAGGTGTTCAGCAGACCAAGGCTACCTGACAATCAGTCATGAAATAGACCTGAGAAAGGTAGGGGGCGAATGGGTAGAAGAATAAGCGTGAGGTAGGCCAGAGAGAGGGTTTTTGATGCTAGCGTGAGCATTAGGAACCATCACAATGTATAACAATGAGTCACCGTCATGGGGCTTTGAGGAGTGGAGTGGTGTGGCCTTAGAGGTAAGCGGAGACTACATCTTTGTCAAGAGAATTAAAGAAGGGGCGGCCGGGCGTGGTGGCTCACACCTGTAATCCCAGCACTTTGGGAGGTCGAGGTGGGCGGATCACCTGAGGTCAGGAGTTCGAGACCAGCCTGGCCAACATGATGAAACCCCATCTCTACTAAAAATACAAAAATTAGCTTGGTTTGGTGGCGCACGCCTGTAATCCCAGCTACTCGGGAGACTGAGGCTGGAGAATCGCTTGAACCTGGGAGGCAGAGGTTGCAGTGAGCCGAGATAATGCCACTGCACTCCAGCCTATGCAACACAGCAAGACTCCATCTCAAAAAAACAAAAAACAAAACCAAACAATAGAAAAACAGGGCATGTCACCCATTTCTTTGCTCACCATTATTGCATGTGTGTGACTGCCCTTGGCCACTGGTCACCTCTGTTAGTAGCTCATTCACAGAGGATCTGTGGGAGGTGACCGTCTCAGTCCCTGTATGTCAAAAATGTCCTTGTCACTCTTAAAGGACAGTCTAGTTGGGTGTAGAATTCTACGTTGAGTTACCTTTCCTCAGTGCTTTGAAAAATACCATGGCACCATCTTGCTGCATCCAGTGTTACTAATGAGAAACCAGATGCCTGTCTGGTTCTCATGCCTTTGTAGGTGAACTGCCTTGTCTTTCTGGTAGCTTTGAGGTTTTCTCTTTTTCTTGGGCGTATTTTTGCTTGGTCTGTCTTGGCACTCACTGGAATCTTTGAGTCTAAGACTTCATGTTTTTTGTTCTGAAAATATGGCCTCTCTTCCACTCTCTACTCTTTCCTTTTGGGGCTCACTAGAAAAAGTGTTGAGATTTCCAAATCTGTCCTCCATATCCTCTAATCTTAAAAAATAAAATCATCCTATTAAACCTGATAGCTTGAGCGCATGGCCTTTGTCTTTCTCTACTGACAGAGTGTTTGCTCTCTTTCAGGATGCTGGCATCTCTGAGCTGCTTGGTGGTTTCAGGATGAATGCCCATTTTCTATAAAGAAACGTGATGTAGTCAGGCTCTGTGTCCCCACTCAAATCTCGCCTTGAACTGTATCTCCCAGAATTCCCACGTGTTGCGGGAGGGACCCGGGCAAAGGTAATTGAATCATGGAGGCCAGTCTTTCCCACACTGTTCTTGTGATAGTGACTAAGTCTCACAAGATCTGATGGGTTTATCAGGGTTTCCACTTTTGGTTCTTCCTCATTTTTCTCTTGCTGCCACCATGTAAGAAGTGCGTGTTGCCTCCTGCCGTGATTCTGATGCCTCCCCAGCCATGTGGAACTGTAAGTCCAATTAAACCTTTTATTCTTCCCAGTCTTGGGTATGTCTTTGTCAGCAGTGTGAAAACGGACTAATACAGTAAATTGGTACCGAGAGTGGGGCATTGCTGAAAAGATACCTGAAAATGTAGAAGTGACTTCGGAACTGGGTAACAGACAGAGACTGGAACAGTGTGGAGGGCTCAGAAGAAGACAGGAAAATGGGGGAAAGTTTGAAACTTCCTGGAGACTTGTTGAATGGCTTTGACAAAAATGCTGATAGTGATATGAACAATAAGGTCCAGGCTGAGGTGGTCTCAGGTGAAGATGAGGAAATTATTGGGAACTAGAGCAAAGGTGACACTTGTTATGTTTTAGCAAAGAAACTGGTGGCATTTTCCCCCTGCCTTAGAGATTGGAACTTTGAACTTGAGAGAGATGATTTAAGGTATCTGGCAGAAGAAAGTTTTAAGCAGCAAAGCATTAAAAAGCTGACTTGGATGCTGTTAAACATTCCATTTTAAAAGGGAAACAGGCCAGGCATGGTGGCTCACACCTGTAATCCCAGCACTTTGGGAGGCTGAGGCAGGTGGATCACCTGAGGTCAGGAGTTTGAGACAAGCCTGGCCAACATGGAGAAACCCTGTCTCTACTAAAAATACAAAAATTAGCCGGGCATAATGGTTCATGCCTGTAATCCCAGCTAGGGAGGCTAAGGCAGGAGAATCACTTGAACCTGGGAGGTGGAGGTTGCAGTGAGCCAAGATTGCACCACCGCACTCCAGCATGGGTAACAGAGCAAGACTCAATCTCAAAAAAAAATTTTTTTTTTTTTGTTAAAGAGGAAAACAGAGCATAAAAGTTCAGAAAATTTGCAGCCTGATGATACAGTAGTAAAGAAAAACCCATTTTTTGAGGAGAAATGTAAGCCAACTGCAGAAATTTGCTTAAGTAGGAAGGAGCCTAATGTTAATCTCCAAGACCATGGGGAAAGTGTCTCCAGGCCGTGTCAGAGACCTTCACGGCACCCCCTCCCATCAGAAACCTGGAGGCCCAGGAGGAAAAAGTGGTTTTGTGGGCTGGGCCCAGGGTTCCTGTTCTGTGTGCAACCTAGGGACTTGGTGCCCTGCATCCCAGCCTCTCCAACTGTGGCTGAAAGGGGCCAAATTTAGAGTTCAGGCTGTGGCTTCAGAGGGTGGAAGCTCCAAGGCTTAGCAACTTCCACATGGTGTTGAGTCTGTGGGTGCACAGAAGTCAAGAACTAAGGTTTTGGAACTTCTACCTCAATTTCAGAACATGTGTGGAAATACCTGAATGTCCAGGCAGAAGCTTGCTGCAGGCATGGGGCCCTCATGGACAACCTCTACTAGGGCAGTGCAGAAGGGAAATGTGGGGTTGGAGCCCCGACACAGAGTCCCTACTGGGCCACTGCCTAGTGGAGCTATGAAAAGAGGGCCACTGTCTTCCAGACCCCAGAAAAGTAGATCCACCAACAGCTTGCACCATGAGCCTGTAAAAGCCACAGACACTCAACATCAGCCCATGAAAGCAGCCAGGAAGGAGGCTGTATCCTGCAAAGCCACAGGGGTGGAGCTGCCCAAGACCATGGGAACCCACCTCTTGCATCAGCATGAACTGGACATGAGACCTGGAGTCAAAGGAGATCATTTTGGAGCTTTAAAATTTGACTGCCCCACTGGATTTCAGACTTGCATGGGCCCTGTAACCACTTGGTTTTGGCCAGTTTCTCCCATTTGGAACAGCTGTATTTATCCAATACATGTACCCTCACTGTATCTAGGAAGTAACTAACTTGCTTTTGATTTTACAAGTTCATAGGCAGAAGGGACTTGCCTTGTCTCAGATGAGATGTTGAACTGTGGACTTTTGGGTTAATGCTGAAATTAGTTAAGACTTTTGGGGGCTGTTAGGAAGGCATGAGTGGTTTTGAAATGTGAGGACATGAGATTTGGAGGTTCCAGGGGCAGAATGATATGGTTTGACTATGTCCCCACCCAAATCTCACTGTGAATTGTATCTTCCAGAATTCCTGCACGTTGTGGGAGGGACCCAGGCAGAGGTAATTGAATCATGGGGGCCAGTCTTGCCTATGCTATTCTTGTGATACTGAATAGGTCTCACACGATCTGATGGGTTTATCAGGAGCTTCCGTTTTTGCTGCTTCCTCATTTTCTCTTGCCGCCACCATGTAAGAAGTGCCTTTCATCTCCCACCGTGATTCTGAGGCCTCCCGCAGCCATGCGGAACTGTAAGTCCAATTAAACCTCTTTTTGTTCCCAGTCTTGGGTATGAAGACAGTGTGAAAACAGACTAATACATCCCTGTAATCCCCACATGTCATGGGAGGGACACTGTGGGAGTGGTTGGATCCTGGGGGTGGTTCCTCCAGGCTGTTCTCATGATAGTGAGTGAGTTCTCACGAAATCTGATGGTTTCCTAAGCATCTGGCATCTCTCCTGCTAGATCTCATTCTCTCTCCTGCCACCTTGTGAAGAAAGTGCCTGCTTCTGCTTCACCCTCTGCCATGATTGTAAGTTTCCTGAGGCCTCCTCAGCCAGGCAGAACTGTGAGTCAGTTAGGCCTCTTTTCTTTATAAATTACACAGTCTCGGGTATTTCTTTATAGCAGGGTGAGAACAGCCTCATACAAAAGGCTTTGGGCCCCCCTCTCAGCACTTCCCAAATGTCTCCTTTTCAGGATATCTGCCGGCGGTGCGGATGATTTACTTTCCTGTTTTCGGTTGCTGCTATTTTAAAGTTTCTTTCTATCATTGTCATGATTTTGTGTCTGTGGGGGAAGACATGCCCACTCTTCCATCTGGAAACCAGAAATCCCTTTTAAAACATCTTTAAAATCTAAGTAACATTGGTTTGTATTCACTGTGTTTATTTTTGTAGTTCCTTGCTCTGGGGCATCAGCAGAGCCCTGTGGTTTTGAGTGTGGCCTTGACTCGGGCTGCCTGGGTGTGAGCCCAGCTTTCCCCCTGACAGAATGACACCTTCTCATTGTTTTGTGCCTCAGTGTTCCCATCTGTGGAGTGGGAGACACAATAGCAGACACCACACAGGGTATTGTCAGGATTGAATGATATGGTTCTGGGGCACAGGGACAGCACAGCACGGGCCTCTGAGAGGGGTGCTTGTACCCACACACTGACATACATGGGTCTAAGGAAACCATCGCACCGTGGGAATGACTGAGGTTTAGGAAACCATTTGTTTACACATGGCTGAATGCAGACCCAGGTCAGGCAGTGACCTGGTGCAACCTCCAGGGAATCAGCCTCGGAGACGCAGGGTAAACCTACAGAAGCTCACCCCAGTGGTGACCATCCTAGCCCACCACCCACCGGAGCCCACCTGCAACCTTGTCAGGTCCCCTGACTATCTCCAGCCCAGTCCTGGGGTGGCCGGCCCTGCTGGGCCTCAGCCAGGAGGGCAGGAGAGGCTGGAGCTTTGGAGCACTGGCAGGGGCCTGTCCAGGCCCCTAGGAGCTGGGAGCTCTGTAAATGTACAGCATGATAGCATCACTTCCTGGGCAGGGCAGGACCCACCCAAGGGCAGAGGGCAGAGGGCAGAGGCAGGCCCCAGTGTGGGGAAGGCCCCAGTGTGGGGAAGGCCCCACTCTGCACCCACAGCAGAGGCTTCCGCAGCCAGGCACGAGCATTGCTCTCGTCTCCCCAGGTCACAGTCTGCCTGTAACCGCCCCCTGCCCAGTAGGAGGTCATGTTGTGTCCAAAGCTCCCTCCATCCCACTGTGTTTAGGTCCTGGCTGGTACCACTTTCACTGTCTTCCCTGCCCACACCTGCAGCCCCAGCTGCCAACTCCACCTATTCCACAGGCTCCCCGATACCCTACCATCTGCACCGGGTGCTCTCTGCTCTGGACAGAGCAATGGAAAGGAAAGGCAGAAAGCCTTGCCTGTGTGTGTGGAGGCGGGACAGGAGGCGAGCAAGCTCACGTGTGGCTCGTGTAGCAAGTGGCCCAAGGAAAGCATTCCCGGGGAGGTGTGCATGGGACGGGGTGAAAAGCGGCCCCGCAGGGCCCAGCACCAGCCTGGCAGCATTGCGCCCGGCTCCATGCACCTGCCCTGGGGGGTGGCTGCCTCCCCGCTGACCAGGCCTGGTTGCCTGCTTGCCCCACTGACTGCCTCCATCTTCCTGCATGAGTTGGTTTCCTCACACAATCCCCCATACTGGAAATAACAGCCGGGGTGACCTCTGGGTCCTGGCAGCCCCCTGCCCCTCGTCCCCTGGGCAGTGCTCCCACAGCCCAAGAGTGACTCCCAGGGTGCCCACAGGGGCATGTGGATGACCAAGTGGCTCCTTGTCCCCCACCCTGCCTGGCCCTCCCAGAGGCTTCCTGGCCCCTCAGTGGCTGCTGGGGGTCCTTCACTGTCCCCCAGATGTGTTCTCCAGCCTGCAGGCCCCAGGCAAGCAGCTCACAGGAGACAGCCTGGGAGAGATGGTAGGCAAGAAAAGACATCCGGACAGGAAACATACTCGATGCTCAGCGTTTATTTGCAAAACTGGGCTGGGTTGAGCAGAGGGGGCTTTGGGATGCCGACCTCTCTCTGACCTGGCTGTTGTGACCTCAGCCCCGAGGTACCCTGCAGCAGGCAGGTCTAGCGCAGCTTCCTGGCAGCACCCGGCCTTGCCTGGACCAGCCTGTCTGTGCCCCAGTGGCCGGATGTGGCCAGCCGGAATCCGTGCTGCATGGGGACTCTGGCCATGGCAGGGACACACAGGCCCGCACATGCTTAGCTTGTTCCGGGGCGTCCCAGTGACATCAAGGAGGGGCAAGGCCAAGGTGGGCCACAGGCTCTCCCAGGACAGGACTCCTGAGCGGTGCCCTCCTGAAAGGGGTCCTGCTGGCCCTTCACCCTTCCGGGGTCCGGTTTCACCCACAGGGTGGGCAGCAGGAGCACAGAGGCACGGGGTGCCACACACAGAGGCCGGGGGGCTCCGCAGAGCAGGCCCAAGGTTTTCATGATCGGGCAATGCACGTCCTGGCTCCAGGTGGACAGAGAATGGGGATGGAGGCAGAATATCCTCAGACGGCAGTGGCCTCCTGGGCCAGGAAGCCGGGGGGGTATATGGGAGCCATGGGCGCAGGGACACAGAAGGGCGTGCAGCCACACTCATCCACATGGTTGTAGGTGTGCAGGACAGTCGAGCCGTCGGGACAGCGCAAGGGCACCGTCTCCTCGTGGACCCGCCTCTCCTGGCAGCAGGTGCACTGGTGCTGCATGGCCTGGGCCTCTGCCGAGTACCTGTAGACGCAGGGGGGCCCTCACATCGGCCACCTTGGCCCCGCCGTTTCTCTGCCCAGGTACACTGCCGCTTGGGCCTCTGGGGTCCTGGGCCAGACGGCCGTCCCCTTCTGTCCACAGTGGCCTGCTCTGTGGGCACGTGGGGCTCCACCTTCTCAGAACGGGCAGCTCTGGGCCCCAGGGTCCCTTGGCTCCCGGCTCTGTCTTCTGTGGCCTGCTCTTCGCCTGTCTGAACCAGCTCCTCCAATCCTGCTGACTCTGAGCAGTCCTTGACCCCTCCTCCTGCCTCTTCTAGCTAAGGGTCAACCCTCCTGGCCCTTCCTGCTGACAGCCAGCCACAGCGGCAAGTCATGGGGGGCTCTACAGAAGGCTCTGGTTCCGCCCACTCTCCCCGGGGGGACACCTGAACCTGGGTTCGCAGCTGGGAGCTCTGTGCCATGTGGCTCAGCTCAGCCGGGCCCAGGCTTTCTACCGATGGATGTGGAGAGGGGGAGCCCTGCTGGGGAGAGCGGCCCCAGGCTTTCTACCAATGGACATGGAGAGGGGAGCCCTGCTGGGGAGAGCGGCCCCAGGCTTTCTACCGATGGACGTGGAGAGGGAGAGCTCTGCTGAGGACAGCAGCCCCAGGCTTTCTACCGATGGACGGAGGAGCGGGGAGCCCTGCTGGGGAGAGCAGCCCCAGGCTTTCTACCGATGGACGGAGGAGAGGAGGAGCCCTGCTGGGGACAGCGGCCCCAGGCTTTCCACCGATGGACGTGGAGAAGGGGAGCCCTGCTGGGGAGCTCCTTCTCTCCTTCCTGGAGCTGGCATAGGCCCCCCTGACCCAGAGCAGGGTGCCAGCCAACTGACGGGCCAGGGCGGACCCACCGCACTCACCTAGACTCTCCGGGGCAGGAGCCCTCACAGAAGGTGATGTTGACCTCGGTCTTGCAGCCCCGGTGCCACAGGACGGTCGTGTTGACGCGGACCTGACAGAAGTCTGGGAGGAGGAAAGGCAGATGCAGAGCCCACTGGACCCTCACTCTGAGGGCCTGGACCTGCTGGGCCGACCCTCCCCATAGGACCACCCCTCCCAGGGCCCTCCAGGACCGAGGGTGGAGTCTGGACACCGGCATCACACTGCTGCCCAGTGCAGACGTCTGGCAGGAATGGATGGGCAGCGACGGGCTGGAGCTGGAGCTGGAGCTGGTGTGGGCAGGTGGATTCCACTTACCCTCCTCACAGGAGTAGCAGCAGCCAGTTTTCCTGAGGCTCCCCTGGGGGGCCAAAGACAGGGGGCAGGGCTGTGGGCGGGGCCTCCCTCCTGGGGAGAGGGAGCCACCCAGGCAGGGGCGTGGCCTCCCAGGCAGGGGTGGGGCCTCTCAGGCAGGGGTGGGGCCTCCCAGGCAGGGGCGGGGCCTCTCAGGCAGGGGCAGGGCCTCTCAGGCAGGGGCGGGGCCTCCCAGGCAGGGGTGGGGCCTCCCAGGCAGGGGTGGGGCCTCCAGCACACACCCTGCAGCTGGACACTTCTGGGCAGGATGCAGGCTGTGGGGTCAGCAAATAGACTCCGCTCTCGACCTCACAGTGGTACACGGTGCAGTTGTCCACACGGCTATTGACCCAGGTTTCGTTCAGCTGAAATGCAAGGGTGAGAGTGGAAGCTGAGTATCGATGATCTCTTGTGCGGAGCCCTGTTGGGGGTGAGGGTCTCCAGGGAGGGAGCTGAGCCCTGCCCCCACATGCCTCTGCTGTTACCTGGACTGGCGGACCATCGGGCGTGAGGCAGGCGGTCTGCACGCACTCCCCACAGCACTGCCCGGCCACGCTCTTGTACTCAAAGCCCTGTGGGGACAGGAGGGGCATCAGGCCCTAACCCTCTCCTCCAGTGCATGCCCCAGCCCAGCCTGCCCTCCTGTCTATACCCCAGTGGCCCAGGGGTCCTTAGCCCTGTCCCTGCCTGGGTCTATACCCGAAGAAGTTGCCCCCACCCAGTTATCCTGGCTCAGCCTCACCCCAGTTTCCAGCACCTTCTCTGTACCTACCCCTGCCTTCCTGGAACCTGATCCCAGACCCTGTCCCTAGCAGCCTGCAGGGCCTGTCCCACCCCCAGCCCCCCTCAGTCATTCTCCTACTTCATGCCCTCCCTTTGGGAACAAACAAGACCCCAGCAATGGCTAAGCTAGAGAACCCCAGGGAGCCGGGATAACAGTGACTCGGGGCTGGGTCTGCCCAGCAGCTGTGGGCTCACCTGGGGGCAGGTAGTATTGTGGCAGGTGTCCTCCCGACATTGCACTGTTGGGTCCTGGGTGTCCCCAGAGAGGCAGGTACACATGTGGCAGGGAAGGGCCCCTGGGAAGATTGCACCAACCTGCAATGGGTGGGAGGGTGGCACTGAGGGCACCGGTGGGGCACCAGGGCCAGGACTCCTCCCCATGACCCGTTGGGGCCCGCAGGGAGTTGTTCCTTCCTCAGATGGAGCGTGGATGCACCCCTGGCTGAACGTGGACCCAGGCAGGCAGGGAGCCGATGCACACAGGGACCAACACAGGGACCACAGGTGGGCAGGGAATCTGGGCAGGAAGAGACCCCTTATGGGCAGGAATCTTGGTGGGCAGAGACCCCGTGGGGGCAGGAATCCGGCGGGCAGGAATCCGGGTGGGCAGGGACCCTGGGCAGGCGTGTGCTGCCCCCAGGCAGTTGCTAGGAGCCCCTGAAGGGACCTCTCAGAGGCAGCAGGTGTGGAACTCAAGGCTGTCGACGTCAGGTGCCCCCGAGTCCAAGCATGTCCCAGCTCTGACCTGCCCAGGGCCCTTGTGCGGATCTGCCCTCATGGCAGGAATGTCAAGACAAGGAATGGGGCTCAGAGGGCCCCGGGGCATCCCACACACATGTTCAAGTCCCAGGGCCACACCCGCCCGCTGTTGTGCCCTTACCCCATAGAAGATGCCGTTGTAGGAACACAGCTGAGGTTCTGGAAGGAAAGGGAGCTGAGCCCATGACCGATGGCAGGGAGCATGTGCCCCAGCGCCCCCACCGTCCTGCACCCCCTACCCCCGGGTGAGTGGCCACCCACAGCCCGGCCCCAGTCCCGCCCCAGCCCCGCTCACTGCAGAGGAGGGTGGGACAGCAGTCGCCCTCCTTCTGGGTGCTGATCAGCTCCTGCCCTGGCGGGCACACGGGTGGGCTCTGGTGACAGGTGCTTGTGTTGCATACTGCGGGAGGACGGAGGGCTCTGTCTGGGCGTTGCTCACTCCTCCTCCCGACCACTTGTTCCCAGTGTAAGTCGCAGGCGTGCTCTTCCCTGAGGACCTGACTGCTTCACAGCCCCTCGGGGCTCCCTCCAGGCCCCTTGGTTGACCACCTCCCCTCTGCTTCCCACGTCCCCGGGCCACTCCTGGGCAGGCCTGAGGTCACCAGCCTCATGTTTAGGAGGAGAATAATGCACCTGGAGGCCATCTCTGCTGAGTGGTCCTGTCGTCGTCACACCAGGACACTCCTCTGCTCTGCTGTGCCCACCCCACAGGCCCCTGGTGGGCACCGGCTCTGTCCCCCATCACCCTACGCCAGGCACCTCTGCTCCACAGGGTCTTACCGCATACGGTCTCAGGGCAACAGGGGTCATTGGCCCGGGGCCTGGTCACGGTCACGAAGCCGGGGTGGCTGCACGGTGGGGGGGGACCCTGGGCCTCACAGGGCAGGGGCTTGCACTGCACCGACATTGAGCCCTCATCACACACGCAGGACTGGCAGTTGCTGTTCCACTGCTGCCCGGGCTGGAATGGATTGAGGGGGTCCTTGAGGGTTCCTGGACAGGCACAGGTCAACCCTGGGCATCTGTCTGGCCACCCCCTCCCTTGGGCTGGTACCCGAGTGGCCCAGATTGGGGGGGCAGGAAGCCCACACCAGCCACCAACACGTCCATATCACATTCGGGCGCCCCACAGCTGCCCTGTGGGGTGGAGATGCTCCTTCGCTCCCTCCCTAAGCTTGCAAGAGGGTGGGGTAGGGCAGGTGGGGGTGGAGCCACTCACAGATTTGGGAAACCCATCAGGTCCCACGCAGGCTGGAAAGGAAACAGTGCGGCGTCACTGAGGGTGCTGAGGTTGCAGGCGGAGGGGCCTCTGGCCACGGGAGGTGCTCTCAGGCCTGGCGCCTGCTTCCCCCGTGGGATGGAAGGCCCTGGAGAACTTCCAGGGTGTCAGATGTGACTGGAGCTCAGGCCAGGGCACTGTGAGCCCAGCTGTCAGTGCATGGAAGCCTCGGCCATGATGGTGGGAGGCAGGGCTCAGGCAAGGGACCACCGCAGGATCACACAAGGACGGAGCCTCCCAGTGGGGCTTCAGGGGACCGTGGGGACTCTACAGGGCTCAGGGCCACAATAGGGCCATCTTGTGCCTCTGGGGGCGCAGAATAGGTCACAGGGGTCCGCTGGGCAGAGGGGAGAGCATGTCGCAGGCCTGGGAGGCCTCTCCCACCCTGCGTGTGCTTGGGTCGGGCCCAGTGAATTGTCCTGAGGCAGGTGGAGGAGCTTACTGCAGTCCTGCACGCAGGTGCCCGTGTGTGCGCTGAAGAGGATCTGGTCCCCGGGGCAGAAGCAGCCCTCCGCCAGCCCCTCCAGTTGTGGGTTCTGGTTCCTGCAGGGCGACAAGAGAGGCCCTGGGACCTAGAGATCCAGGAGGCCTCCCGGTACTGTCATCCACGGGAGTCCCCAGGATGGGCAGTGGGGAGCGGGGAAGGAGACGAATGGGTGGAGTGCGGGACTCAGAGTGGGCGGGGCTGGGGGCGGGGCTGGGCGGGGCTAAGGGTAGTCTGGGATGGGTGGGACTCGGGGGCGGGGCCAGGTGGGGATGGGGGGCCAGGCCTAGCCAGGGATGTGCCCCCTGCCTGACTCTTGTCTCTAAGGCATCTGGGAGCAGCAGGGGATGTTTTCCAAGGAGTCCTGGGCTCAGGGGCACCCCAGAGATCTGTGACTCCCAGCGGGACACCCTCTGGCCTCCTCCTGCTCCCCCCGACCTGTCAGGCAGGCCTGGGTGGTGGGGACGGCACCAGCCACCCCTGTACTCACCTGGAGTTGCAGGAGGCAGGCTGTATGGGGCCGCACGGCTTGTACACTTTGGTGGGTGGGCAGGTGAGATCTGTGGGCACAGAGAGGTGTCAGACAAGCTGAGAGGTCTGGGGAGCCCAGGGCCACCCCCACTGACCACACAGGCCACTCAGAGAGGCCGAGGAGTCTGGGGCCCAGGGCCGCCCCCACTGACCACACAGGACACTCAGAGAGGCCGAGGAGTCTGGGGCCCAGGGCCGCCCCCACTGACCACACAGGTCACTCAGAGAGGCCGAGGAGTCTGGGGCCCAGGGCCGCCCCCACTCACCGCACAGGCCGCCGGTTGCACCTCGCCAGTCACTGCACACTCCCCGGGCGCGGCAGAGCGCTGCGTAGGCCTCCAGGCTCTGGCAGGGCACCTCGGGGCGGCCCTGGCAGCCGTCGCTGATGCAGGCATTGAAGAATGGGCCCGGGGGCACAAGGTCGTGGCACTCGGCAAAGACCCTGTGGGGCAAAGCAATCAGCACGCCTCAGCCCGGCCCCAGGGAGCTGCCTGTGTGGGGGCAGGCGGGGGCGCCCCAAGGCCTGCAACCCCCGAGGGGAGGACTCACTGGCTCAGCATCAGATCACAGAGTGGTTGCGGCGGGCACGGGCTGGGGGTGGGTGCACTAGACACCGGGGCCGGGGGACTGGCAGTGGGGGGCGTGCCGGTCGGGGCCCAGCAGCCGTCCTTTCTGCTGTCAGGGACCAACCAAGTCTTGGCCATGTCCTTACAGCTGGTGGCAGTGGTTCCGTCCCGCTGGAGACAGTCGTCCCTCTGGTTGTTGGTGCAGGTGCCTGCGGGCAGGGTGTCACCGCGGGGCTGGAATCCGGGGAGCCTTTCACAGCCCCCACCTGCCTCCCCCACTCATTCCCCTCCCCGGGCTTCCCCTATGTTCACTGGGTCGCAGGCCCAGCAGCAGCCCTGGCCGGGGCAGGACCCGCCGCCCACTCACCGCACTGGCCCTCGGTGTTGTTGTGGAAGAGGCTGTAGGGCAGCCGGGCCTGGAAGATGTGGCCATCGAAGGTGACGCTCACACCCAGGGCAGGAATGTCCACGCGCATGGTGGTGGTCCCCGTCACAGACACAAGCACGCCGTTCTTGCTGAAACCGCTGCTCACCGGAATTTGGTCAAACAGGATCTGGGGGAATCCGGGGGATCCCTGAGCTGGGAGGCAGTGCCAGGTGGGCTCGGGGAGTGGGGTTTGCCTTTGGGGCTCTGCTTCGACGTGCAGAGACCCCCCTGTATATCCCTCACCCCAAAGCCCAGATCTTGCCTGAGGGCCTGGGGTCTCCAGTCGACTGCATTTAGGCCACAAGGTGTGCTCGGCCTAAGGCGGCCCCACAGGCCTTCCCTGCCCCCTGGGAGCTGTCTTGGGCACAGGGCCATCGCTGCGGCACCTGGGTCACCCGGCCTGCAGTCGGCCTGCCCAGGTGTGGTTGGGACTGGGCCAACACTGTGCCACCCGCAGCCTGGACTCACCAGGTCCTCCTCCTTCCCATGCACCGTGGTGACGGTGAGGACGATATCCATGGACTTGTAGTGGATGCTGAGGGCGCGGGAGCAGCTGGCGGCAGCGGCAGAGGCCACGCAGTAGTGGTTGTCCAAGTAGAGGCTGAGATTCCCAAGGCGTGCGTGGATCTCTCTCATGAGGACATAGGTGCAGTTGCCCTCAAAGGTGTAAGAGGTGCCGTCAAAGGTGGAATAGTGGGAACTGCCCCACACACTGCAGATGCCTGCGGGACACAGACGGACGGGCCGGCAGGCTCCTTGGTGGTGCCCTCGCTCCCCAGGCGCCATGGCAGCCAGCATCACCACCGTGACTGCCGCCTCGGGGAGCGACTGAAGCCCTAGGGCCTCAACTGCCTTGTCTATAAAATGGGTCCAGTGTTTGCAATGGTGTCCCCCAAAATCTATGGCCACCCCAGAACCTCTGCATGTGGCTTTGCCGGGAGAAAACGTCTTTGCAGATGGGGTTAAGGGAAGCATCTTGAAGTGACATCATCGGGGACTAGCTGGGTGGGCCCTCAATCCAATGACCAGTGTCCCCACAGGAGACAGAAGAGACACAGACAGAGAGGGGAGGCCACAGAGAGACAGAGGCGGGGACTGGAGGGATGCGGTCACAGCCAAGGGACACCTGGAGCCCCCAAAGCTGGGAGAGGCAGGAAGGACCTCCCCAGACCCTCAGCAGGGAGCATAGCCCTGATCTCAGACTTCCAGCTCCAGGACGGAGAGTGAGTTTCTACTGTCTAAGCTCCCCAGCTTGTGGTGGTTTGGAACAGCAGCCCTGGGCCAAGGACGTGCGGAGGAGAGAGAACGCCGTCACCTCTTAGCGGCGGGTCCCGCACAGTGATGGAAGCCGCTGTTAGGACCCAGGAGATAAAAGCTCCTCTGGGCTCCCACTTCCATCCTGAGCTTCTCCAGGCCCCAGAAGCCCCTGGATGGGGTCCCTTTCAAACCACACAGGCTGATGTGCAGACAAGCTCAGCAACCTGGCCTCTGCTCCCTCTCCTTTGGGCTGTGTCAGCATTTTCAGCCCTGTGGACACAGAGCCTGCATGCTAAGAGCTCACACAACGTGCACCACTGAGGCCCAAGACAGCATGGTACAAGATGGTTTCCTGAAGGGATGCCACCGATCTACCAAACACCCCCACCACGCCCCACCACCCCCGCCATGCCCTACTGCACCCCACCATGCCCCATCACACCC